TTCTCCTAGTTCACTATTTAACTCCAAACATACATTTACTTATAACAATTTGTATTCATCCAGTACAAACATCGATTCAGGCATACCTCACTTGATTTACAGAAGAAGGTGATTAGAGAGTAATTTGTCACTTATACAAAAGTTAATATTCACTAACTAAAAGGAGTCTTTCAAATGGAGACTATTTTAGGGAATGTAAAATGTAATTAGGTTTATGGGCCACTTGGCCAGGGACACATCAGTGCTGTGAGATGCAGTTCAAGGGTCTTTCTGCAATGGCACTGGATATATTTAATTCTTTTTTCTCTTTTTCCTTGAACCCCTACATTGAAGCTCTGGCTTATATGCTGATATTCTTCAGGAAGAACAAATCCAAATTAGGAGATGTTCCTACCAAGGGGCTTCAATGGCACCACGGGGGACCAGCCATCTTTCAGGACACAGGATCAGAAAACATGCCAGAGTCACAGATGCTGCTATTTCTATAGAAACAGAGCAGGGCCTGTCCAGGGATAGGCCAGCTTTCAGAGCCAAGGATCGAGCTGTAGAGAATAGTATCCTGGTGGATTTCCCTTTGATTTGCTAAAACCGTGGAGCAAAAAGAGGGAAATTCTTTTGTCTTTACGCCCTCATTCAGGTGGCCTATGGAAGAAATGGCCTTATGCCACATACAAACCCACACCTGATCCCTGCTTAGGGTCTCTGTTGATGTATCTGTTCTTTGCCAGCTAACTAGTCAGATGAACTGATGATGATGAACCAGTGTTCCTAGTGTGGGTGGTGCTGCTGCTAATGTTAGCTCTCCCAGTAACCAGCCACACTTAAACAGGGGCTTTAGGAAACAGAATGACTTAACTCAGNTACCTAAAACAGTATCAACAATTGTGATTTTTTTCTCCCTTCTGCTCCAAGACACGATCACTATCCTCAAATTGCTCAAAGATGGGGAATATATAGCACACAGAGAGGCAAAGCCAGGTAAAAATTCAAGGGCATCAAAGCTGGGTGCCCAAGGAGGGGTGCAGAGAGTAAGTGCTCCTGGAGCCTGAGGAGGAGGGTGTCACTTTGGGGTGATCAGAGACAATTGTTTCAAAGAAAGGGATTTGAGGAGACTCATGTAAAACAGAGATTTCACTTGTAGAATGAAAGGAGAAAGGCCTTCTGGGCTAGACAGGGTTGGGAAGACATGGAAAAAGACCTGGGGAAGCTCCCTCCCAGGACTGAGGAGAGACCCATCTGGCTGAGGACGAGGGTCCACTTCCCAATTTCACACTGGGCTGGTGAGGTAGGTCCATGTCCTGCAGGGGCCTTACATTCCAGGCAAAGGAGCAGAGGAGTTGCATCTCAAAGCATTGTTTTGGCGAGATTCATCTGGCATGGCATGCAGAATAGTCTGGATAGAGTAAAGCCCAGAGGTGCATTAATAGCAGGCTAGAGAGGAGGTTTCTAGGGGCAGCCTGGGAGAACATCCACCCCATACCACCCACTTTAAGTCCTCTGGCCAATCAAGTATGCCTCCGCTATCTGCAAAACGCAGCCTCAGCTCTTG